GTATTATGATTGATGGAGTTTGTTTTTTTCATTATATTCTTCAAAACATAGAAAGGCTAACGGCCAAGAAAGAAGATCAAGTTTACCTCATTAAAAGAACATTTTATACTGTGAACAGTATTGGCTATTCTGAGATTTCAGGAAAATCTAGTTTTTGAGCAATATAGGCCTGCATCCAGGATTAGCATTAAGTTTGTCTTTGTTTGTTTTAATTAAAAATAAAGGGATTAAGGAAATGATTGAACTTTATAGTGATTTTATTATGGTGATCAAGGAGTCAACTGTCGCTTCTGCTATGTATTTTGGTTCCTTTGTTTAGGAATTCTGCTGAAAAATCTACAGTATTCATCTATGTCAACTGTCGATCCCTCAAGTGCTGGTGCAAAAAGGAACACTTTGTCGTCTACTATAATTGTGCCAAGTGTTAAACTACTCATCTAAAAGTTTTTGCAAGTTTTTTGGAAGTGAAACTACCCGAAAAGTTACAACTATTGATGTAGTCTCTTGTTGATACTTGATACTACCAGTTTTGTCGCTACCTAATAGAAGCAAAAAAATCTACAAGATAGATTGAACCGAAGATCTATACCTAAACTGAAAGCATACTTAAATCGCTTTATGTATGTAATTTTTCCCTTTTTTTTTTTAGACCTAAGCCCCCAAATATATTTGGCTTAGGGCAGCATCCTCTTGAACCTTATATAAAGTCTGGACCTTCCCATGAAGGATCAAATAAGCTAAAATTTCACCATATTAGATCAGGTTATGGTATCTCAATTTTTGTCTAGATAATAATCTTGATGATTGAGCTACCTACATCACTTATCAGAGTTTCTATATGGCCTCTTTAGGTTGTCATTCCTTCTTTAGTGAAGTCCTGATTCCCTTTAACTCTGATATAAATATTAAAATTTCACTATTATCTTTGACAGACATAAATCTATCTTCAGATTATGATACAGGTACCTTCAAAATAAGTTGTAAAATAGGGTACCAGCACCCAGAGACACGAAATAAAAGATGATTGTTTACCATTTGAGAAATTACTTTAAAACTTGTTTTTATAGAATAATTATTGTTAAAACCTTGAGTCAACTTAACTTCGAGACTCGTTTTCATAATAATCTAGCGGAAACGTAAGTGAAGTCATGAAATGAATTTGAAAATTAAAAATAGGGATAATTGCAGCTGCAGTCCCAAATCTTTTATTTTTTCGTAGATTTGATCTAAACCTTTCGTTTGGCCCACTTACAGTCCCAAACCTTTCATTTCATTTCATCACAAGGAGAAATGGATGGATTCCAACTATAAAACCATTAGTTAACCTAAAAGTTTGACTTTGATCAATTTTAAAAGGGTTGAATTCGGTGATAAATTATCAATGTCAAACAAGTTACGAAAATATAAACGGCTTTCATTTAAAGGTCTAGTCAAAGCAAAAGTTTATTTATAATGCCTAAGAACTATCTTTTTTAGTTAGATGGGCTAAAGATACAAAGAAAAGAAAAATACAATTTTAAAATAACTAAAATGTCCTGATATGTAAAATGGCATGCCCTAATTCCCCTTTCAATTTTTATTTAGTCCTAATTCAATTTTGGCTTCCTTTCTTTCACAGTCAGGTCGACATCTCTATCAATTATTTTCCTTTTCTTAACATCTTCTCTCCTTCATGAAACCCTAAAATTTACCATTGTCATTCCCTCGTACACTCATTTGGTTAAAGTGGGTAATCAAAACTTACAACATTCTTGTTGGGTATTTAGAGAGAGATGGTGATATTAAATTTCAATATTTGGACTACTTTCTTTTTTAATTTTCTTGAATCATTTCTTCATGTTGTGATTTATATTTATGATGTTTATTTGTTAATAATGGTTTTGAATTCATTTTATCATTGAATTAGAGCTCTGATATCGGTTGCTTTCCAATCTATACTTACTATCTATACTTACTATCCCTTATATTTTAAAGTGAAATATATGTTGGTAAATACATTTTTGGGGATTCTATTTGTTGTTCTACTGTGAAATATACATTTTATTTTTTACTGTCCAGAATGACTTATAAATCATTTTCTACAACTCAAAAATGACATACATCTCGTTATCAACACTGTATCAAGTTTATAATTTGATGAGATTTTAGAACTTTTATGGACACCATGGATATGTTATGGATTCAATTTATTATCTAGTTGAATATGAACAGTCAGTTGAAGGTGCTTGGGAATGAAAATGTGTAGAGAATGGCAATGGAAAAACATCTAATCTTGTTTCGAAAATAACTTCTTTTGTGGATTTGTATGACAAGGTCAAAGACGTGTTGAAGGTTGATACAATGATATACAAAATGGATATGTTAGCTCTTGTCCAAATGATGTAGCTTTATTATTTTGTAGTTATAGAAAGCACCAAATGATTTATTACATTTTGTAGTCATTGTGCTATTAATTATATTGTATTTTAATGAACCAAAATCATTATGTTGTTTTTTTATGTTATTGCTTTTGTATTAATGAAATGATATTAAAGTCATTTTATGTTGATGTGTTTTTTTTATTATAGATCAACAACTTTTATGTCGTATTATTTTTCTAGAATGACACGAATGTCATTATAATTGATATTGATGCCGTTCCAATAAGAAAACTGTAATGCTTAACATAGCAACATTTAAATCATTTCTGATACAACAAAAATATATATATATATTGAAGCTATTCCTATATGAAAATTATAATTTTTCATACAATAACATCGAAATAGTTCCAATACGGAAATTGTAATGCTTCAACGATATTTAAATCAATCCTAAGACACAAAAAACACTATGCATGTCATATCAGTACAAAAGCACTATTGTTATAGTGATTCACATAATGGCATTGAAGTTGTTATATCCAAACAAAACGACATTGAGGTTGTTATGCCAAACATAGTGCACACATGCATGCATCATTCGTAATTTATAGGATTGACATCGTGTTCATTCACAAAAATAACGACATCGAACACGTCATGATATAAAACATCATTTTCATTACAAATTTGTCATCATTGAAGTCGTTCTATCCAAAGTATAACTACAATAACATTGATATCATTTCATTTCATACGAAAGAACGACAATGTCATTCTATATCATATTCACGAAATAATATAATGACATCAATATCATTCCTGTAGAAATTTATCGTCTTCGAAGTCGGTCCAATGCGAAATATAATTGAAATGATTTTCATGTATCTTTTCTTACATAATGATAACGGAATTGTCTTAATGAAATAGTTAAAATAACATAACGATGTTAAAATTGTTCTAACTATTTCGATATTAAAGTCATTCTAGTATGAAACCTAACTACAACGATATTGATGTGATTTCCTTTCATTAAAAACGATGGTTATATCGTCCTAACTCAAAATGCCGATTTGGCTATTCACAACCAATTGACATGCCTAGGACAAACAAAAATGGTCATTATGTGGGTTCAATTCCACTCAAAAGAAAGTATCATTAACATTAGATGTCCCCAAAGTTGTTTACCACCTTCAAACTTATTCGATGGTTAGAAAATATATCTATTCGCTCCTTAAGTTATTCGAGTGTTATCAACCCGTTTGAATACCTCAAGCAGTCGTCCTATATATGTCGGAGGTATGCTGGGTTGACATGGAAGATCAAATCGACATTTTAAGCTAGAACAATATAACTGTCATTATTTATGAAAAGAAACGATATCAATATCATTGTAGTTATATCTCATACTATGTAAATATCATTGACTAAAAACAATGATTTGATCGTCAATGGTATTAATATCGTTTGAAACATACCTACAATGATATTGATACTGCTAAAAAGATAATTGTTATTTTGAGTAAGAACGATATAATTGTCGTTTTATGTAAAAGGAATTGATATTTATGTGGTTGTGGTTATGTTTTAGACTAGAATGATCCCAATATCGTCATATTTATACCAAAACAACATAAATGTCATTATGTTATTTCGTGGCTTTGATACATAACTATCGTTACATATTAAAGGAAATTTGGATGTTATCAATATTGTCAAAATTATACTGAAACGACTTGGATATCATTATGTTATTTTGTGGGTTTGATACATAACGATATCAATATCGTTAATGTCATTGTAGTCATTATTTGAATTAGAACGATATCAATGTCGTAAATATTGAACTGAACCGATATGAATGTCACTATGTTATTTCATGAGTTTGATACATAACGATATCAAAGTCGTCACATGGTAAAAGAAATGACTACAATATCATTTTAGCAATGATCCAGTGTGCACGTTGGCCTATGCCAACACATTTGAGTTGTTCATTATCAGAGAGCAAATTGTCCCTTAGATGAGCACACACAATACATACGTCGTGCAAATGGTGTAAGCTTGTTAGCAAAACAATTTCTTTTTTGTTTTATTAGTCTTTAATGACTTGTGTGTCATTATTAAAATCATTAAATCAATCTTTTGTGTCTTAGAAATTATTTTAATATCATTTTATTAATCAATGTAATTTTCGTACTGAAATGACATCATCATTGTTTTGTGTTTTAAGAACAATTTCTAAGTCGTTATATAAATGTGGGCATTTTTGTACTAGAACGATAGAAATATAGTTTTGTGTCACATGAACAATTTCAGTGTCGTTATATGAATGAGTGCATTTTTAGTGGAACAACATCAATATCGTTTTGTGTCATGAAAATGAAGTCTATATCGTTATGCAAAGAAGTACTTACATTTTGACGTAACGATCTAAATATTTCTTTTGTTGGTCTTCAAAATTATTAAGCACCTTGCAGATGTATGATCTCAAACTTGAAACTTATGAAGGCCAGAAAATATATAAATTTTAATTACATTCATTATCCTTAATTGTCATAGTTATACAACATCAAAATAGAACAAAGTAACTACAGAGTTGTGTCAAAGCATTAATAAAAATATCAAAAAGGGTCGAAGTCCTATGCCAACAACTCTGCAGTCAATTTCTTTCATCATATTGGGACATAATCCAAGCGAATTGCGTTTACATCCATCTGTGCTTTCAAAAATTTTATGTACTTCAAAGTGAATAACCCGCAGTAAATCTACAAAATAGTTGTGCAGTTATATTAATTCTCAATGCTAAAATAATATAGTACTAACAAATGTGAGGTAGTCAACCTTATAGAAATAGTGCTTGTTAGAAGAAAATTAAACCCACCAACGACTGAAATTTGAATAATTTATGTTGATTGTTTTCCCTATAAATGGAGAAGAAAAAAATAGAAGAACACGAGTAAACAAGCATACATAGACCACCATTTAACATTACTGTCTAACTTCTGAATAAGAGTGTGTATATTGTTCGATCATATGAAAAATAAGTAGCCCACGAAGACGGTAATAACAACATGCCTTAAATGTTGATGGGAATAGGGATATATATGAGTGAAAATTGTCTGAACTGTCTCTACATTTAGAGTATCTAGCAAATCAACATGCCACTTGTTGGACCCCATTGTTCAATCTCAGTCTATGAGTCACTTTACTTTACATAAAAATTTTGCTAATGTCTCTACTTTACAAGCATCAACTGCGCAACAAAGAGCATCCTGGATCAGTTCATAATACAACAACTATTGTACAAGATTAGTTCACAGAATTAAACATTTATGTCCTTTCTTTTAGTAGAAGTTGAATGACCCAGTCTAAGAGATGGACATTAATTTTTTTTCACAACAATCAAAGCATATTCCCAAGAATCTTGATTCTTTAATCAACTAGATGAATGTTACCCTTTCATTCGCTGCTGATGGGTTTAAACATAATCAGTGGATGTGAATTTTGACCTAATAAACACCAAATTTACATACGAATACGCAGAAACCTAATAAATCTAGTCAATAAAAAAATAAAAATTTAAAGAATCCAGACAGATTAAATACAAATAGAATCATAAGAAAACAAAGGAAAGATAGAGATTAACTAGATTAAAAATTAATCAGATGTGCAGTCGGACCCAGCCTACCATCTTCATTCACTTCAAAACCCTCTACAATCGTCGGCTGCACAAATTCAAATCAACAAAGTCTCAATTAGACCCATTATTAGCCACAAATGAAGGATGAATGAGAATATAATTTTTGAATTCATTGAAAAATCTTTAAATTCCAAGTTGCTTGATAATTTCAGTAAACATTCATATTGAAAAATATATACCAAGAAATTACAAATAGCAGAAATTTTCCTGGACTCAATGCATTTGTAAACTATATTATGAAAATCTACACTTTCCAACCCCATAAAAATCTGCAAAATTTTAAATAAAAAAAAATTACAAATTCTAAACCAAAGATTAAATTTTGAACATACTGAAGCCTAAAGAGTACAAACACAGGCTTGGAGACTAAACTTAGGGATTCCGATTGTGTAGTGTGGACATCAGGAAGAATGAGAGATTATCATTGTTAGTAGAGAAAAAAAGATGGAAGAACTAATGGAGTCCTGGGTTATTTTGAATTGAGAATGGAGGATTTGACATGAAAGGGAGATGACATTCAATGTAAGAAATAACTCTTAAAATTTGGTTTTACAAGGAAAGGTAAAAATAGTATTTTTACAATTTCAAATATTTAAATTTAATTTCATTTTGAAGAATTGGGTCAAAAGCCTTTGCAACAAAAAGATATTGAGGGGTGATCATTTGAACTCATTCCCCAAATATGAAAGGTTATAGTGAATTTAAATAAATAATTATCTTTTTCAGGTGACATGGCCTGATCCTAGTCCATGTGCCAATTTTCATTAATCTTGTTTACATGCTTCGTGCGTTTTTTTCTGTATTTGATTGATGGGATATGCTAGTCTGTCAGGATCATTTACACAAACTCTGATCAGATTATGAGAGGGTGAGCATTTTTTTTATCCTTAAAAAATGGGTGTGAGCCCTCTTGTTTGAGAGATAGTCTGGCCAAGGTCTGTGCAAATGATCCTGACAAACTATCATTTTCCTTGATTAATTACATGTGATTTAAATCGTATTTGTATTATCTTGAACATGGAAAATGTATAGGCGAATTTATTGATGACTGAATTGGAATAGTGTTTTTTATTATTTTCTATTTCTAAATGTACATTAGAAACTTTTTTTTTTAATTTCCTAATAATAATTTGACATTTGAAAACTTTTATAGAGGATGTTGCCCGTGCTTCTCGTGAAAATCTATAAATTTTGTTTTAGTAAACAAAGAATAGTCAAATGATTTGTACAAGTGAAAACACAATTCATCCCAATTTCGTTAATTTTTCAAATCAAATTTCTGAATTTTAAGAAAGCATCTTTCTATTGAGTTTTGGGTTCAATATAAAACTGTTAACATTGTTAATAAAAATTATCCGAAGTCTCATATTGATTATTGTTTTCATATTAAAATGGCATGATATTTAGACTTAACATCTCTCATCAAGATGATTGTTCATTTAAGAACACAAATCTTGAAATTCAACTACTCACCCGAGTTTAGGCAAATTTGCATTGCTCGTTAGAGTTTTTCTAAGTTGGTACCATATTCTTAAAAATTAATCTTAGAAATTTCAACCTTATTAAGAAAAATAGTCTCAACTTATTGAATTCATATTTAAAAGACGTAAAAAATTTATCCATAACAACCAATATGCCTACTTTTTAGTCATGTTTAAATTTATTACAATTATAGTCACAAGTATTAGGTAGATTGAAAGTTCCATTTAGTATTTTAAAATCTTGTTGATAAGTTAACTAGTTCAAATCATGCCCACCAACACCAACCGTTTGCTTTAACATTTACTACTTTCTATGCCTTTAGTTACATGAAATGAAAAATTTCCCTTCATTTTTAGCATTTGATTAATTGTTTTTCCCACATAATTGGTCCCACATCTTAAAGAAATGGGGAAGCACAAATGGATAGGCGTTTAGTACTAATCGTTTTGCAATTCACTTTAGAACCCTAAATAGATGTTTGACATATCATAAGCTGGATTTCCTTTTTGGTCGAATTTTGTTTTTATTTTTTTCCTTTTTGCCAAGTTGTTTCACTGTATAGGGCTTTTAATATATTTTTCGAATTTTATTTTATTTTTTTTAGTCAAAAAATGTCTTTTGACAATTATTTGATAGCAAATTTCGAAAACTTTATTATTTTTTCAATGAAACTTAGGGGAGTGTATTCAATTGAGATTTTTGAAAACTTTGATGGACCTTTTTTTTTTAGTGTCCATGGATTTTGTGGATTTTTTTTATATATATTTTATGAAATTAGTGAAAGTCTTTCGTAAATTTTTATAAACTTTCATTTTAAAATTTTTATGGACTTTTGTAGTATTCAAAAGACTTTCATTTGAAATAAAATTCATGTGGATCTAATACAATAGCGTGAAATTCTCACATACGAGATGTTGGTTCCTACAAGTCCCCTTCCTCTTCCCATATAATTGAAAATAAAATTTAAAAGAATAAAAATTTAAGACCTTAATTAAATAGATAATAATCAACAAAAAATAAATTTAATATTCGGTATTATTAATATACTATACCTTTAAAGAATAAATAAATAAAATCAATATATTTAAATTTAATTATAAATTTGCCTATACAAAATTTTATAATTTAATTAAAAATAGATATTTTTCACAAAATGAATGACAAAACTGAAAAACAAAGTTACAATAATCTAATTTAATTTTTCTTCAAGAAAATAGAGATAAACAAAAAGAGGAAAAAATAGAAAAATAGAAATAAATATAATAATAGAAAAAAATAAATTTTATTCATAACTTAATGTTTGTAGAAGAAAAAATGAAAAACAAATATAAAAAAAATATTAATTTCTTTCTCTCTTTTTTTTTTTATTTTTATAAAAATATCCCAAAAACTTGTGATTAATGAGAGACAAATTTTGAGATTTTAATTTAGTACTTTTCGCTTAAAAGTTAGTATCCTGGAGATTTTAAAAGTCTCAATTGAAAACACTAAGGGGTTGTTATCTTTGTGTTTTAGATTTTAGTTTTGAGTTTTGAATTCATTTTGTATTTTGTATTTTAAGTGTCCATTTTAAGATTGTTGAAAATACGTTTTTTTTGTCATTTGAAAAATTGTTTTCAAAAATAAAAAATTAAAAAACGCGTTTACTTTCTAGTTTTGAAAAATTGTAAAAGCAATCATTCAACATATATATAGTTTATTTACTTATACAACAAAGCAAAAGTGGTTGTCATAGTGGTTAAGACATTAAAACTCCATGTTGGTGACCAGAGTTTGAATCTCAGCCACCTACCAATTTATTTGAAAGATTTTTATATTGTGCATTAAAAATAATAAAATAAAAAAAATCCTTTGTATTGAAAGTAGGCTGGTGGAATTGAATTCGTGATCATCTCAAAATCCTTGACTCTACCAACTGAGCTATCCAGCTATTGATAGAAAAAAACGCGAAATTTAATTGAAATTTCTTGTACTGTTCATATAAAAAGAAAATTCCTTTGTATTAAATTGCGGTGAAATGGAATTGAACTCGTGACCTTAAGAAAATTCGAAACTCAACCAATTGAGCTATCCTACTATTTGTGAAAATACCGCGTTTTCTGCATTTTGAAGTTTTGACTTGATTTTTACTAAAAACACCCAAAACGACTAAAAGCCCATTTTGCGTTTTCTTTGTAATTTTTTTCGCGTTTTCGAAAATTCATTTATGAAAATAGGTAAGTAAACGTATTTTCAGTGTTTTCAAAAATTAAAAACTGAAAATGGTCAGAAAACAACAAAGAGAACAGGCCCTAATACTTTTAGAGAATCTCAAAAAGTCCACATTGAATACTCTTAAACTTTTTAAATCCCTAAAAATAATTAAAAGTCTCAATTGAATATACCCCCTAAAACTCTTACAGATTTTTGTTTAATTCATTTGACTTTCGAATACTTTCATAATTTCATTTAAAAATAAAATTCATTTGGGTCTAATTAGTGGGAAGTTTCCAAATAGGAGGTAGAGGTTCAATCCCACACCCCTCTCTCTTGGATAAAACAAGTAAAAACATATTTAGTATTCAATATTATTAGTACATTAGACATTTAAAAAGTAAAAAATCAGATAATATGTTCAAAATTTAACTAAAAAGTAATCTTTTTTAAGAAAAGGAAGAAAAAATGGGGGGGAATATAATTAGTAGAAGAGAGACGAAATAATTAATTTTTAATCATGAAAGTAAGGATCATAGAAGGAAAGATGGGAAAAAAATGTTGAAAAGAAAAAAAATACATATTAGAACAAAAAAGGTCTTTTGTGAAAGTCTCTCAAGTGAAAGAAAGATAGATTTTGAGATTTTAAATTTTTACTTTCTACTTAAAAATTAATATTCTAGAGACTTTTGTAAGAGTTTTTAAAAATTACTTGAATATTCCATAATTTATCGAGATTTTAAAAAAAAATTAATTGAATATACATCAATTGATACACCAATACTGTTGAGAGTCCAAAATCAATTGAATACACCCATCATTAACTTGTTTATTTAAATAGAAAAATTGTCTAAAATAATTTAGGGATAAAGTTGATGATCAAGGAAGCTTAGATTAGCCATGTCGGGGCCAATTCAAGAGAACTCTTGAGCCTTGTGGACTGTTTAATTCAACAAAATAGCTGTCCATGCCTAGTTTTTTCGATTGTTTGAGCCCATCGACTTCCAAAAATAATAAAGCTTGATATTTTTGGGAAATTTATTAAAGGTTTTAATAAAAGATCATTAGATATATGATTTGACTTGATATGGCCTGACTAGACCTATTGGGTCCATGCCAGGGAATTTTTTTTCCATGAGAGTCTAAATCGATAGGATATTTTTGGATTAGTAGCATGACCCAAATCGATAAATAAAATTCTCGATCAACCAAAACCCGACTCCGATCATCCATTAACAACTGTAATTTCAACCTTTCAATAGGTAATAATGATTAAGTGGAACCGACAAATGAGCGATGCCAAGCCATGAAAATTTTCACCATGAGAGCCTAATCCAACTTCGACCACTGCTTCGCAACCTGAACTCCAAAAAAACCTTAGAATAATGCTACATTTACAGAAAAAAAAATTACAAATGTTTTACAGAATACTCACAACAATGGGGTCTATTACAATAAAATATTCACATGAGGTCTACCCCCATGTGTCTAACCTGAAGAACATCTGTGCAAAACTCTTGTACACATGCCATTTCCCAAAACCTTAAGCCGAAGGACGACAAATATATGGATTTCAAACACTATTTCCAATAATAGCAAATTGACCAAGTAAACATCTAAAGAATTAATTACATAACAAACAAAACGAATGGGGAAAAAAGCTATAAATTAGTAGCTTATAATTTGGGTTGCAAATTTCAATCCAAGAGCTACATGACAAAAAAATTGTACCTACCACAGAGAGAAAAACATATTTTAGCCAAACGAAAGCATCATGAGGCCCACAAAAATTAATTTCAAATAAAATAGAAGAGGATGGAAAAAAAAAAAAAAAAAAAAAAAAAAAAAAAAAAAAATCGCCTCAATTCCAACTGTTGATAGTAGTCATCTCTAAAATCTTCCATTATATGTGTTGAAACGAATTGAATTTGATACGCAAGATGCATTTTAGATTTAATTGCAGGTACCATAATTGGTCAAATCGAAACACAAATAAAAGCTAGGTGACTATGTCAGAGCAAACAAATTCGCTAACGTAAAACAACTCTAAAGTTGAGTGACTTCCAGTGAAATGTTGCCCCTTTTTCAATAATTTTGTATGTAAATTAAGTGCATGTTTGGCAAGGTTTATAATTACTTATAAGTTTATCATACTTTATTTTTATCCACATATGCTATACAACTCACAACTTTTACTTTTACTTTTACTTTTACCAACATTTCGTAGGATCATTAATTTATGATCTAATAATAACTATGCCAAAAATGCTAAATAAGTGTAATAATCAGCTGAATGCAACCTTCGATAAGGCTGCTGTTGTAGGCTGAGACAAGACTTGCAAATGTTGAAAGCTTAAAAGACTTGCCATGTTAGGTGAGGAACCAAAGTCAACCATACATATCTCCAATCTCTAAATCCTCACCATTTTTATTTTTTGGAAAGAGATGTGATAGGACTCAATACATGTGCCTATAGCATGATTTCTATTTAAGCTAAGTCACATCAAATAGTGCAATCATGTTATCCAATAATGAATAGTCTTCATCCCAATTAAAACTTTTACTAGAGTTATAAGTGTGACAGTAGATTTTTGAAAATTTAATATGAATCAATCAATCACTGTTGATCAAGCCATGCTACAAATCTTGCTAGAGTTGTTGCTGAGTTTGTGAATTTTTTAGAATCTAGTTAAAATCTAACTCCAGTTGTTATTGAGGACATAGATTTTTTAGAAATCTAATTTGACTTACCAATTGGTGGAGTTATTTAGATATAAAAAAAAAAAAAAAAAGCACACACACACCCTACTGAGAAGTCCCTACTTGCATCTCATCGAAAGAGAAATAAAACTTTAATTCAGCACTCCCTCTCTGCTGTAACGCTGTTATGAGTCAGCGTCGCTAATGATATTTTGTTGGGATAAACAATGGTAATATCCCTGATTTTCTCTATATGGCATCTCTTGTTGGGACGATGGAATAGAACACGACAGTACCAAGGAAGAACAAAAAAGTTAAAATATTATGTTCCAACGAGACGTGTAGGTTTAAATGTCAAATAAGACATTGAAAAGGTCTAGAGTATTTGGAGAAGGAATATGAGGTGAAACAAAAGTTGAAGGACTAGGCATTAAACTACAGTCTAAATGATTCCTGTTACTGTATAGAACGGGGCTGAGATCATGGAAAAACCCTAATGGATTGGGATCAGATGGTGGAGAGAACAAATTTGGTGGGATAGGTGGAAGAGAAGCCGGGTTAGGCGATAAAATACCCGGAAACTGGCCGGACGGCCTCTCAAACTCGGCGTTTATCTCTATTCCATCAATCATCCCCATGTCAAAATCTTGCTGCAATTTCCTCCCTTCAGGGGATTTGGTTTTCTCAATGGAAGCAAAACGTGCAGCGGGAGATATTGCACCACTATTATCTTGAAAAGCCCAAGAAGAAGAAGACGATGAAGAAGTGATCATAGACGAAGAACAAGTCGAATCTGGGCCAGTTAGACGTTGTACTAAAGACATGAATTCATTAGGGTTTGCATGAATTATCTTGGGAGAGACTGTATATATAACAACCGGTGGCCGGGGTGGCGCTCGAGGTTGAGAAGCTTGTGGTGGCGCAGGCGGTTTTCTGATCTTGTGAGAATCTTTACGTACTTTTAGAGGTGTCGGTCTAGGCCCTTGGAGCTCTCGTCTAGGTGATCGGCCGGCCGAGATATCCAACATGTCCATGGCGGAGATGATTGATCAATGGTTTCCAAGAAGAGAGGAAGGGATTGAGGGGGTGGTTTTAATGGTGATACAAATACATTTCTTCTCAAAGAAAAGTCATATGGTGACTATTTAACTATTGTCAGTCAATGAAACATGAGAGTAAATAAATGCAAAAAAAATTAAATTAAAATATTAAATATGTATTTAATTATTGTCTTCTAGTGTATAAATATTGATTCTTTGAGGCTTTTGGCCGAATTAGTGATGGTATGAATGTTTGAACTTGTCAAAGTTTGAGGAAGAGCAGAAAGGTGGGTCCATGAGACACGTAATATTATGAGATGATGATGTAAGTATCCATGTAAGCTTAAAACATTGTCCATCGGATAGTAAATTACATAATTTTATTGGGAAAAAAAAAAACATTTGCTTTAGTATTTAGGACGAAGAAGATATCCACACTTCTTTTCCCAACTACTTTTGAAGTGTCCTTCATTATCCATTTATATTTCTTGCTCTCTATACAAGTCTTGAGGAGTGACTTATCATATGATACATGGATAATTGCACATATAACATATCACAAACAAGAACTTTGTCCTTGATAATATTGATTTCGTTCACGATAAACACAATGTTATCTTTATCAATGGAGTTCAGTTTGCCTTTTGTCTTATTTTGTTTGATGCCCCTTTTGTCTTATTTTGTTTGATGCCGACAATCTTTAGCATAATATCTAAATTTTTCACACACAAAACAATATTCCTTGGATTTCATCTTGAACTTTTTGTAGTCCTGGTTAGAAGATTTCCTTGTTTGATTTGTTGAAGGGTTCGATCTTTTCCAAAATATTGACCTTTGAAATGCCTTCATAAGAGTTTTCATTCTTCTCTCTTGCCCTCAATTTTTCTTCAACTCGAAAATGTTTCTAAATATGTTTGAAAAAATAATTTTCAAAACTATGAAGAATCTTCTTTCGACATCGTTTCCAAGTCCTCCAGAGTTTCGCAATTATTGCTCCCACTTTTTTGAAATTTCTTTTTTAACCACCTTCAATTTGTTGACAAGCACTAACAATTCATGCACTTGGATAAGTAGGAAAATGTTCTCAAGAAATTTAAATTCGAAATACATCAATTTTAGAAATTTCTTTATACCTTCCTCCTCAACTTTGTATTTATTTTCAGTGTATCCAAAATCACTTTTGTCAAAGTGATATTGGTGTAGAGATCGTATAATCAATCTGAAAGTGCGTTGTGAATGTGACCTCTACAGATTAATTCATCTTCTTTGCATTTTTGTCTTTTACTCTTTACAACATCCGAATCTCCATCTATTGGTTCTGGTAGTGGTGCCAAATCCTGATTAAGAATGTAGAAGATCTTCAGTGCCATTAGAAAGAACTTCAATGCATCTTGCCACTGAGTGATGTTTGTTCCATCAAACCTATCCAACCAAACAAGGTCTTGACTCATGAGTTTGATGGTCGTCATAGTTGCCTCGTTCTCCATAGACACCGTTTGAAATTGTTGAACAAAAATTCGAAGAACTGGAGAAGAGAATAGAAAAAGTTGCAGCACGAACACCAAAAAGATGTATTTTTTTCCACTATGATAGTGCCTGATATTGTTATAGCTCTGTAACTGTAAATTTACAATTATTTCTTCTTTTTGAAATGGTTATACTGCAGCCCCTTCACACGCAGAAAATAACATTTTTCCATATTTTTTAAGATTTGCTGGAAATGTCAGTTTCGACAATTGTTCATGGTGTAACTCATGATGTTGCTAAATTCAGTAGAGGGCAAGTTAGCACCCTCTCTTTCAATAACTTGAAGATTTCAGAAATTAGGCAGATTGCCCTTTTCTTCAATGTTGGGAATACACTCAGTTTTGATGCCCTCTTCGATGAATTTTAACACTTGAAAGTGATCAAAATGCCTTTAACATGATAGGACTACGTTGGGCAACACTTTCTCTCCAGTAACATTCTAAGCTAAATCACATGTATCTTCAAATAAAGCCCCATAATTTTAAGAGTTGTTATTTAAGTGGAAAGCAATTAATCCCCACGTGAAAGTAGGAATCCTTTCGGAATAAAGCCCAGAAATCACCAGCGAACTATCCTAAATTACAACTTATCAGCAGATCCGTCCATCCCGTAATAGCCTCTAACAGATGGTGTTTATGCTCTAATTCCTGATTTTCGAAGTAATGAATCAGTGATTCAACTTTAAGATGAGAATTGTTCTCCGATCCAGTTAAAAACCCATATCCTCAAATTTACAACTTATTAATATCAAGTTAGACATTAAATTGAGGACCGAATAGTCGTTAGTTAAGCATTCACAAAATAAAGATAGCATTGAAGTGCAGTTAACTTGAAAACCTTTTGTTATAAATTTAGTGCCAGATTTGTCTTTAACTTTCAATGCCATTTCAAGAATTTGGTTAGATTTTAATCGTCCAAAAAAAATGAAAGTCTCTGAAGAGTTGAGATTTCTCTACACTAGCAGACTTGGTATTCCATTTTATTATTTTCTATAATAATTACAAGGATAGAGGCATGTTAGGTACAGCAGTGGACATGGACGAGACGAGACTGAACAGTAGGATCTTAATTTACTGTCAAGTGATGTCCAATCAATTTGATTCTTACCAGAGTTCTTGTTTCTGAAGAGAACAATATTTTTAAGCCCATGGAAGGTAGCCTGGGTATGGAGCAGTCCCACAATATCTGAACAATCCTTCTATTTCAGGACATCCATTAGGATAAGGTATCGACCGATGAAAAGGATCACGACCGAGCTTTTTACGACGTAGTGAACCTAAACAACCATAAGGATCATCTTGAAATTGAGCCCTTACCAATGCTTCGCCTTTTAAAGCTGCTTCCCTTGAATTTTGGGAAGAAGGTGTGCCTGAATAAGAGAAGCTTGCCTCGGGAAATCCAATTGCCGATCGGTGCAGACGAACAAATCTCTCCTCCTTAAAATCGTAACCCACAACCTGAATTTAATTCCCCAAAAAAAAAGGGTCGGGTAAAAAGACAGTCATCTGATTTGACAATCCGCTTTCTCTAAAAACAAGAAAGCTACAAGTAATGTAACTATGAATCCAGCACAATTTGGGAAAACATACGACCGATCATTTTTTGTTTATATATTTTTAACTTAAAATCGAATTAACGTTAAATCCCCTAAGTTACATATGCGAGTGCGCACGCGCGCACACACACGCACACCTACCCTTATGCTTAACGGAAATTGGATGATGGCCGTCAAGTGTATCTGTTTTTGATAATACGTGAGAGAAAAACGAGTATTGACATCTAGGAACGGATATAAATTGACACAATAATAATGAAGTGGCATGAAAGGCAATGGATGCTGATGTTATGTAACTAGCAAGTACTGTTATCAGTGAGTAGGTGCCTAAAGGGCTCAATGGAAGACTGAAACATTAAGGCACCAGGCATAGAATCAGTCTCCTACATACTTCCAGGCACAAAATCGGAATCAAATGTATTTTATCAACTATCGAATGACGTTGATATCGGAGTCCTAAATTTCACTTATAGGTCAAAATGCTACAAAGGAGTCTTCAACTCATGCACATATAGTATGTTTAATAAGTATTGAATAAGTAATTAAGTATTAGTCAAAATAAACCGTGTCATTTAACCATTGTAGAGCAGCAAAAATGTATTAAAAAAACTTGGTCTTACAGTTATATTTTGTGGATATGTGCCAGTAAGCTCCCGGAACCGGCACACACTGAAGAGAAGATTCTCAAAGCTGTCTCTTGCATGTTCTTCTGTGAGTGCTCTTGATCTCACACTGTCTTGCTTGCCTGTACAGAGTTCACCAAGCCAAAGGAAAAATTGATAAGTGATTATTATAAGCACATATGGCAGATATTTGAATTTGAATATGAATATTAAATCAACAATTCTGTTAGTTATCTCGTTATATTGTTTATCATAATAAACAACCAAAGTTTTATGGCAAAACTGGAACTAAACAAGTAGCCGAAATAAATGGACAAAATCAAAGTTCAGATGGTCATTTTCCTCTAGATAGCAAATAATGATCAGGCACTTTTTTTACTTTATCAGAGGTTTCTGCATCACTGTCTTTTCATTAATCTCTTAAAGACCTTAATAATAACTCAAGTTACAAATGAAGCTCCAATTTTCATAATATTTCACCATTTCATGCATTATAAAATCAAAGCAACAAGAAACTTATATTGCAGAAAGTTAACTAATTTAATTACATAACCATGTACAATGAGCAGGATTGACTAGTGAAAGTTCACAGTTAGTGTAACTTTTTGAGATGCAGTATTTGAATGCATTCTGTTCATTGCATTATTTTGAGTTTATGAATGAGAAAAAAGATAGCAAAAACACCGAGGACGGATGATTTAGGGAGATTAATAAATCAGTAAATAACAAGAAGGGAAGGGGGAGGAGAAGAGAAGAAGAAGGCAGAAGCGGGGAGGAGGAGAGAAAACGGCCAAGCCAACTTTATAATTCTTAATCAATTCATCAACTGAGAAATTACAAACCAATGATAGGTTTAAATAATGAAAACCTAGAAATATAGGGCCAAGCCCATTATTTAAGTCCTAATTAAAATACGTAAACTTAAATAAAAGTCCAACTGAAACAATAATAAAAGTCCAACTAAAATACTGAAACAATAATAAAAGTCCAACTATAAGGATGTCCTCATCAATTCTCCCGAGGTGGGAGAAAACTCGACCCTGTCGAGTGGATATATCACCGTAGATTCCCGTCAATCTCCCAACCATAAGCTGAGTGGTTGGGCAAGTTTCTTCCGGCGTCTGTAGAAATGTGTCAGTGGCGGTCTGAACCTGGTGTCCTCATCAACTCCCCTCGGGTGAACGGGAGGCGATCTGGGCCAAGGAAGATCCTACTGACTCCGATAAAGCTCTAACAAATCAGGATCCAAATGCTGTAGTGTCTCCCTGGAGATCCATGCACAATCAGAATCTGGGCGACCAACCCAACGAACAAGGAAGCGCTGAACCTCTCCATCATTAGTGAACACAGTTTCTTCATCTAAAATAGCATCAATTTT